CTTTAATTAACTAAGTTGCAGGTTAATCGATTATGCCTAACAGAAAATTGTTTTGTATAAAAACTAATTTTTCACATGTGCTCATAGATTCACATACATGTTGTTTGTAATTTTCATATTCTTTGAGAAAAAATTTCTTGCTGTGTGAAAAGCTTTTCATTTTCTTTGATTCAAGAAAAGAGAAAGATGACAGCTTCGCAAAATTTTATTCATTGTGCTTCATTGTAAAAGCCATTTTTGAAAAACCTTTCATAATCACACTTTATTGTTCTGAGTATTGTGAGATTTTTGGGCAGGTTTTAGTTTATGTTCATAAATATAAAATTAGCACATTTAGGTGCACATCTAGGTGAGTTGGTATCAACTTTGTAGAGAGAATAGAGTTTGGAAAATCCTAACTGCGGTTAAGTGGCGTATTTACTAAGCAATGTTTTGGTTGGGAGTTGGGAGTGGTTGGGCCAAACTTTTAGAAGTGATGTTGAATATCCATTTGAAGCGAGTGAGATGGTAAAACCATTCCAGAGCTCTAGAGCCAATAACGGAATCCTGTAATTGGAAGAGTGTCTATAAACATTTGTTCATATAGTGAAGAAAAATCTCCCATCATAAGGGGAGGTCTGGATATAGTTTCTACATGGACCAACAAACGAATCAGGACAAAAGTTCATCGTCTCCATTTTCTCTATCCCTTTATCTCTTTATATTTAAGTTGATTTAAGCTTTCCATACTTAGATTACATTGCTTATTCATTAGTAGCTTGCATCTAAGATAATGTAGATCACTGTAATTTTCTATAAAAAGAAAATTGTTTTCAAGAAAACAAGAATCACGTTAATCGATTAAATCTAATATTAATCGATTAAATACATTTGGTGTTAATAGATTAAGAGCAGTTATAATCGATTAAACAATGTAATTTTCATAACTTCTCATTAACCGAAAAAACGGGAATTGTGATTCACTACACCTATTTACCCCCTCTTGTATGTGTCTGTAAGCCTTTGTTATCCAACAGTACCGAGACAATAAAGACAAAAAATGTCTATTGCATAGATAAAGAAGAATAAATGCATGTATAATTTTAATAAAAATTATAAGTTTATTATTTTTATGCATTTCACTAGATTTATTTTAATAACAATTATAAATTTATTATTTTAATATCATGTGTCTATCATACAAGATGATATAGAAATTGACGAAGATGTGACCCATAGGGTTTAAGCAGGTTGGATGAAATGGTGGAATGCTTCATGTGTCATTTGTGATAAAAATATACCACTCAAGTTTAAGGAGAAGTTTTATCATACAATTATAAGACTTGTACTATTATATGGTACAGAATGTTGGATGATAAAATGTCAGTAAAAGAATAGACCTCATGTAGTAAAGATGAGAATGTTGCATTGGATTAATGAGCATACTAGATGCTCCATCCCACTCCAAAAAGACATGTCATAGCCAGACAAGAGTGACAATTGTCAACCTAGGACCAGACGAAGTAAGTCCATTCTAAACACTCTCGTGCCTTGATTTGTCAACCAGACAATCTAAAAAGACACAAGGATGGCTAGACAAGAACGAGAAGACAATACATGAACTACTTGTGAAACCCGCCTACTACACCACCTACACATGACTACCATATCATTGAACAATACAAATCACTGCTACAGGCTGCATGCTACCTATGCACTATAGCTCTGTGTCAGAAGACCAGATAGGCCTACATTACGGCTACATAGCCTTTTACAAGCTGTAAGTCAACTATCCACAACGTACGAACCGGCCAGAGCCATCCATCACGGGAAAAACGACCTTTGCTTGTTTGGAGCAGGTCCGACATGACCTTTTGGTCGTCCAAACCAACAAGATCTACAAGGGAATATTCCACATGCCACTATAAATAGGGAACTCCTCCCCTATAAGGAAGTTACATTCTATCTCTTGATATTACTCTCTTACTCTTACTCCTGCACTTTGCATTCTCATGTCTCTCTCATATACTGACTTGAGCGTCGGAGAACCTTTTCAATTAAATCCACAAGCGCTGCAAGGCGAATCTAAAGCAACACTAGAAGACTCTTGACCAACTACACTAAACATGATAGGATTAGAAATGAATGCATGATGAACAAAGTTGGAGTAGCTCCTATTATAGAGAAATCGAGAAAAACCATGGGGGGTTGATAAAAAAACTTATAGATCAATATTTTGTCAAGGAAAATGATTTATGATAGAGCATTTTGGTATCGTTCGATCAATGTAGTCAAACTCACCTACTGGGACAAGTACTTGGTTATTCTTGTATCTAGTAAATCATGTTGGGTGCAGTAATTCATGATACACCAGGAAAGGAAATAGAATAGTTAACAACACTGTGCCAATCAAATTGGTAGTAGAAGTAGCTGAAGAGATTCAAGAGTTCATGGATAAAGGTGAGAAATATCTTTGTTGATCATCCCTATATGGTCAACTTTATCACTGTCTCATGTCTAATCTTTGCAGCATTTCTCTGAATTAACAACTTGACAGTTCTGGAAAATAACATTGCTCTTTACATAGTAATCTATTTCTCTTTCACCATCTCACACCTTTTTCCATGCAAACAAAACACTGTCATACTAACACTTAAACAAAATTTACCTGCAAAATGGTGACATAATTGTTTTTTTTATTATTTTGCAGGCTGACACAAAAATGAGATACTTTGAACTTATCTTTACATTCTTCTCCTTTGCCTTCAACTCCATTCAAGAAAGGTTATATTAGAGAAAGTGGAACTAGGTATTTTCAAGCTACAGTGTCTCAAATGGCTTATAATATATCTCTTATTCTATTTCTGTTCCTTATGTTTGGTGGTGAAGTGATTGCAATTGATAGTAAGTTACAAAAGAGGCAAATGGTAATGGAAGAAGAGGAGTTGTTGGGTTTGTTTGATGTGATGGATGCACTTTTGGAAGACTCTGAGTGGGGCCAAGAACATCCACAACCATGCACAGAAACTCCATGGCCTGGTGTTGAGTGTGAAGTTAGCAGTGACACACAAATCTTTCATGTAACAAAGATCCACATTGGTCCTGATATAATTTCTCCACCATGCAAAACCACTGCATACCTTTCACAATCATTGATAAAACTCAAGTACTTGAAAGCCCTTTCAATTTTTAACTGTTTTGTTGCTTCACCTGTGACTCTACCAAGTACTCTATTTGGTCCTTTCTCTTCATTGGAACATTTGTCTTTGGAGTCTAATCCATCCCTCTTTGGAGAAATACCTCCAAGTTTAGGAGATGTTCCTAGTCTTAGGGTCTTGACCCTATCACAGAACAGCTTCCAAGGAAACATACCTAGCCAGATTGGTGGTTTGGTTTGTCTTGAGCAACTTGACTTAAGTTTCAATAACTTAAGTGGTGAAATCCCTAAAGAAACTGGAGGTCTTAAAAGCATGACCATTTTGAACCTTAGTTGGAATGTCATTGAAGGTGTTATGCCTTATTCTCTTGGACAACTTCAACTTCTTCAGAAAATGGATTTGCACTCTAACAAACTCATTGGTACTATACCTCATGATTTTGGGAGGCTCAAGAGGTTAGTCTTGCTTGATTTGAGTCATAATTTTATTGTTGGGCCTATTCCAATAACCTTGTCAAGTTTGGAACTTTTAGAATATTTAGTAATTGATTATAACCCTATTAAAGGAGGGATACCCTTTTTCATAGGGTGCCTTAGGAAGCTTAAATCAGTTAGCTTATCAGGGTGTGAATTTATAGGCCCCATACCCAACTTTTTCTCTTCACTGAAAAACCTTACAACATTGTCTCTAGATGACAATAATCTTAGTGGATCAGTTCCTCCAAATTTGGCCTCACTTCCAAACTTAGATCATCTTAATATCAGCCAAAATAAGCTGAGTGGGGTTCTACAGTTCCCTAATGATTTCATTGAAAAGTTAGGTATAAGGTTGGATGTAAGAGGAAACAGTAAACTTTGCATCAATGATCAGCCAAAAGGGAAGAATCTTTCTTCATACTTGAAAATTTCCTCTTGTTTGAGCATTAGAGATAAAAATGGCAATGTTTCTTTTGCTCATGGACCTCTTCAAGACCCTTCAGAAATAAGGCCATCTTGGTATAATAGCAACATAAGTTCTTGTTCATCATTGCTACATGATCTACCAATCATTATGATTATCTTGGTTATGTTTCTTGAATTTCTTTTATTGTAACACTAGAAATTAGTTTTATATAATGTTTTACTCATATTATTATTTGGGTCCTGAATTTTATGTTCATTGAATTGGCTTCATAGATAGGTCGTTTTCTTGTTGGAAATGTGCATGGAAATTATTCATACAAAATTGCATGCAGTGTAATGCTTTAATGGCAGCTCATTAATAGCTTCAATAATAGGAGGGCATGCACTGTGCAATGGTGAAATGGTGAAAAGAGAATTACCTCTAGTACTTTTTTAACAACATTTTCACCCTTATACCTTCTATTTATAAAGTGTGCCAAGGAAAATGATATATAAAATACTATTGATCTATCATCAAGCATGTAGATCACTTGTGGTATAGAATAGTCACAACCAAAAAATAATAATTTCAAGCCCATATAAATACAACTTTTATAAATACTTAATAAAATAAATTTTAGAGTAAAGACCTATTACTCCCTTAAATTTTTTGTACTTACCAATTTGGTTCATGAAAAATTGAAAACTCAAAATGTTCCACATAAAAATCAAATGTGAGTCAAACTAATCATTTTAATATCTTTTATGACCTCTAATATAGACTATTTTGACACACAATTCAGATTTTTGATTACTAATTTGAATTTTTACTTTTCGGTGGTGATCAGTATAGTTGAAAATCTATAAGAACTAAATTGGGTATACCCTCTAAATTTTATCATCCATAATCGCGGCCCGTACCCAAATAGTGTTTTACCCCTAGATGCCCAATCAACTCTCAACACATTTATGGGAGAACCAGCTAGCTCTAGGCTCGAGTGACATTTCACCCTAGCCACAATTCACCCATTGATTCTTTAACATAAGTTGGTTCTGACCTGCACTTAGTTTCACCTAAGTTTTATCCTGGTCATCGACATATTGGCCAGGTTATAACAGAGACTATTTTGACCAACAATTCAGATTTTTTTAATACTAATTTGAATTTTTACTCTTCAGTGATCAATATAGTAAAAAATCTATAAGAACCAAATTTGACACACTCCTTAAATTTTATCATCCATAACACTAATATCTCTCGAAAATTACATGCAGTTCATACCAAGAGTTTACCATTGATGTAGAAAAAAGTCCTATTTTGCCCTATTTCATTTTTTTTACACTAAACATTTTCACAATTTTCAAAGCGTGCCCTCGAGTGTTATTGTCTATAGCAGCCTTTAGGAAGAGTAGCAGTAGTGTCTGATCTGACAATAATAAGCATGCTACAACCACCCTCATTGCTGCCAACATGAGAAAGATGCCACTGCTCAGAACTTGTTTTGGTTGTTTGAAAGAGACAGAGAATCTTATAGCAACTTTACAATCTTTACCTACCACTTGCAACGTTTTAACACAATGAGTAACATACAACAGAGAAAGAAATTAAGTTTTAGTTTGAAAAATTGAATATTTGTGGGTCCTCTAATATTAAGACTGTTAGTTTTGAGAATGGTTAAGTTTATCTCAACTTAGATTGAAGTCATCGCAAATATTATTTTCTAGCCAAGCTATGTCTCACTTGATATATATTTTTAACTAAATGAAGATCAAACAATATTCTTTTTTTTTTTGTACTACCAAGGCTATATCCCCTTTCAGGGTGTGTTGTTGTCCTCCCAGTAACTGTCGCTCTCAGGATTCGAATCTTTGACATTTTGGTTATCTTGAGATATAACATAACCTTATATTACTAGATCAATATCTTCTTGGTACATCAATGTTCTTAAGAAGTGAGATAATAAGCCTCGATTTCTATTATTATATCAATCCAAGTAACTCTTCCCAGCCAATATCAGCCTCAACAGATCGTGAAATGAATGATAACCAGCAGAGTAAATGGAAATTTATCAATTGCATTCATAGTCTAAATCACCTTTTTAATAAAATCTAAACCATTCATGTCCATTCCCTATATAAGTAAGAAATGTTTTTCAGAAACTATAATTTTTCTCAATTTTTTATTTTACCTATAAAAATCCACAATAATTATTTTACCTCAGATTCATTCTCACAATATCCTTGAATTTTAGTCATCCCATGTATAGGCTGCAATAATGGAAATATATCATCAAATCAAATTAAAGGATGTCCTTGTATTTTCAATACACAGTCCAAAACTTCCAAATTTGTTTTATGATTAAAAAAAATACCATCAATTGAATTTTAGTTAGAATAGTACAAAATAAAAAATCGTGAAAAAAAATCATTTTCCAAGTAAACAAAAACATACTGTTACCAAAAGTGAAAGAATACATAAAAAATGTTTATAAGTTTTTTTCTAAAAAAAACTACGTAGCCTTGATTTTTCTATTGCAACTAGATATACGGAGGAGCAGGTTTTTTCGTGTTAGGCACAAAAGAAAATGTCTTTTTTTGTTCTTTTTACTTAAATTAATGTGAGGGTAAAATTAATATTTCGAATAACTATCCACATGATGGATCTAGGTACCGTTTTAATAACAGGCGATATGAGATGCCTAATACATTTTTCATTTGTAACCGACTCCCGAACTAATTTTTTCTCTATTAGCAGATCAATCATTTTTTAAAATTGGATTTTCATGTTTTCCTCTAAAAAACATCGATGATGACTCAATTGCATTTCTTTTACATATTTCCCATCGCGTCTATGAAAATGGGGCAGCGACATATACTTAATTGTTTTCTGTTAGCCTTTAATCGATTAATACATGGCTTAATCAATTACCGACGCAAAAAAAATTGCTTTAGCTACTGTCACTTCATATAATCGATTAATCTCATACTTAATGAATTAACGATGCCAATGAATTAAAAGTTGTCGCTAGTGTAACTCATGATAATCGTTTAATCCCATACTTAATCAATTAACGGGTTCCCTTTATCACGTATTCGATTAATACAAGTTATAATCGATTAATTGTGCTTAGAAAAATGTTTTTTGATGCATGATAAACATTCTACGTGATGTGTAGATACATGATCTATGATTTTGAAAGATGCAAGTGATAAACTAAGTTTAATGCACCAAAATCATGCTATCATATGTAAATGCATGAACATGTCAATTATGTATGAATGTATGCAAGTCTTATTTTAGGTTGATTGAATTTTGGATTTGTGAGACTTCCATCTACATTCACCTAACTTAGACTTTACTCAATCAATCATCTTAAGACTCTAGAGATATAAAAATTAACTAAAGTCTACTTGATTAATCTTGAGTCTTTGTTGTTTTTTGTTAAGTTAACTTTGTCTTCAAGCTTGCCTTTATCCTTGCCTTCATCAAAATAATTTGATAATAAACACTTCAATTTAAAGTAATAATTATTGAGTGGAAAAAAGAAAATGAATAAATTTAATACTAATAATAATTATGTAACTGTCCTTGAAACAAAATGATCCTATAAAAGGACCGAAATATTATAGAAATTTATCCTTTTTATATGACAACTTTTCCATCTTGTCTGAATTATTATAGAATAACTGTTTTTTAACTACTGAAATGCATGGGGTTGTATATATTTGTTATTATTTTATTTTAATATATTAAATTGAATAATTTGATTGGAAATTTTGTATAATTAATTTTTTTATTTAAAAAGCACCTAAAGAAATTGAATTCATAGTGCACTATTTCTCCTTGATTTTTATTTAGTTTTACAAAATATTAATTTGAGATAATGCGACATGAAACGAGTCCATAATACACTATCTCTCATTGATTTTATTAAATTTTAAAAATATAAATTTGAGATAACACGACATTGCACGAGTTTCATAGTGCACTATCTCTCATTGGTTTTATTAAATTTTAGAAAAAATAAATTTGAGATACACGACAAGGCACAAGTCTCATAGTGCACTATATCTCTTTGATTTAATTAAATTTTAGAAAATGTCAATTTGAGATACGCGACAGGGCACGAGTCCCACAATACACAATATCTCCTTGATTTTATTAAAGTTTAGAAAATGTCAATTTGAGATAACACGATAGAGCACGAGTATCATAATACACTATCTTTACTTGATTTTATTAATTTTTATAAAATATCAATTTGAGATACTCAATAGAGCACGAGTCACATAATGTAAGGACCCGATTTTCGTAATCCCAAAATTCTTTTAAAAACCTCGTTCATGAAAGTGAAGTGGTTACTTTTGGAAGACATTGCTTGAATGTTTTGGAAACTTGAGTGAATACAAATATTAGTTCCATTTATAAATCACAAGGCGAAAATATTCCAAATACATCTCACTTCAAAAGCATGTCATTACACTTCCTTTCAAATACATAATCTAAACAATTATCTTTTCTCAAGGAACACTTTTAATACAAACATTAAATCAACTTCATTATACACTTAGGAGGAGTTCCATTTTACCAAAATAGATAATCCAACATAGTTCTCATATTATAAACATTTATCATATAACATATCAATTACATAAAATTATACTCTACCATGTACTCTTCTCCGCAAGCGTCCAACGCCCTACCGCCACAACCTGAACTCAAATACACAACACATACAAGAAGAGACAGAATGAGTAAGAACCAACTACGGTGACCGTACCGTGAAATTACATAGAGTAATAACATTAAAGTATTAAACATATACCACGTCTAATATCAATCATATTAAACATTTAGCCATCAACACATTATACCACATATTGTTCACATATCCATTTAGCATACTCATCATATCTCACTTAGACAATTCATTCAAATCCACACAACATACCATTTATTCAACTCAAGCATTATCAAGATCACCACATAACAATTAAACATTGAAGTGGAACACATTTCATGAATACATAAATATAGACCTTCGTACTTTCTTTCTTCCATTTCCATATTGTTCATATTCACCCTATAGGATATATATCTCATAATATATATTCTATAGCATGCATATTACTTTCATTCCAAACATACACTTTTCACATTATTCACATTCCATAGTAATTTACCCTTGATCTCTTTCAACAAGTCTACACCGTACAAATAATCATCTACCACATCGGGTAGCTCTAGTTAATCCCCATACCACATCGGGCATGTCTAGTTAATTCCCCATACCACATCTGGCAGGTCTAGTTAATTCTCCATCCTACATCGGGCAGGTCTAGTTCTTTTGAAAAAGACGTAATCATGCTACATAACTTGAGCCAAAGTGTCGCTACATAACTGGAGCCCACAATGTCGCATCATTAACCCGAGCCAAGGTGTCGCTACATAAACCGAAGCCCACGGTGTCGCTAACCATTCATGGTCGACTAAAAATATGTTTTTCCTTTCATTGATACACCATCAATTTATACATAGCAATTCCCCCCATTCCTTTATTATAAACATACCAATATATGTCTATAATAAATAAGCGACTTGCTTCTCAACCACTTCCACAACCAGAAAATACACGCATTTTCCATTACGAAGTGCGATTAAAGACTTATCCTTATAAACACATTACCTCATACACATACCTTGCGCACATCAGCTCATATAAAATGGAAACACTTATCCCTTACTACGTATAAATGGCTCACAAAACAATCATTATCATACAACACAATCATATCCATTTGTTGTCGTTAAACAACTTACCACACCATCATTATTACAAACATACCCATATATATTTATAACAAAAATCAACTATTCATAACACACCATTATCATAAACAAACCACACACAACATATTCTTCATCATATAACACGTTAACGTTAGAACTATCTTTCATGACGGTGTATTACCATAAATGAACATATTGCGTTTTACTTAAATAAACGGTTTTTTCCGCACATATATCCCCACTTTTATGGCTAATACATTCTCATATAAAATAAAGACTCTCGCATGGACCACAACCACTCAAGAGATTTTCTATCAGTTA